GTATAAAGCAAGAAAAACATATATCTTCTTGCTATACACTTATAATTATGAAATATACATACATTTTAATTCGATTCAACTGTATGCAAAACAAATTATACAATTGCAGCGAAATAGGCCAATGAATTATACAATTTAGGCCAGCGAATTATACAATTGTATATGTATAGCAAATTATACAGTTTTATGTTTGCTATGGAGCGCAATTATGCAAAGTTTGCTATAGCATACAAATATAAATTTTTTGTTTGCTATATGTGAAAGTTGCCCTATTTAATACGCATCATAGTCCGACCGAGCTCATATATAAATAATATTAATAAAATAGCCTTCATAGTGCTAACACAACGATTTAATAACTAACTAGAATCACAGACGCCACTTCTGACCTTGAAGATAATAAAAATAAAGAGCATTCTACATCCAAAAAAAAGTAAAATCACGTTGAAGATATATCATGCAAGGTGATGCAATGTACATATAGTTAATGCATAAATATAAAAGCTCAGCAAAGTTCCCGAGCCACTTAGAATGGTTCTCAAGCTCAACCTGACATTATTCCTCGGAAGTGCTTCCTCAATCTTAAAAGTGTAAAAGTAAACCAAAATAAATCCTTTGAGCTTATCTTTCAACAAAACTCACCGAAATTTGCATGTTTAAAACCAATATGTATCACTCTGTCCATAATTCTTATACAATTAGTACCTTTTTTGAAGTGCTCAAACGTCAAGAGAGAAACAAAGAAGTTAAAGTGAGTATCTACTTCTAAGAAAAACGTGCTTTCTTCACACTTCAAGTTTCCTTGAATAAAACCTGTAATATGTACCCTCAGAGCCAAAAGTACGTATGAAAAAATTGTATAAGAGTCCCAAATACATAGTTCTCTCATTTCTAACTCAAATCAATCCAAAAATAGATGTCATGCATATAAATGCATACCAAACACACTAAATCATTCACAAATACAATCACACCGTACAACAACCGCGTAGACACCCCTCCATTATATAGCACAATCTTTGGAATATCTATACAAACTATGAAGCACCCTTGACACCATTGGAAGAGGTATTAGTGACATATTGTTCGAGTTTTAGTTGATACCTATAATTGTTCATACTTTAAGATTTATTGGATATGTATCAGTGTGATCTATACTTAGATTTGAAACTATTTTTGTTGTTTCTTTGTATCTGGAAATTCCATAACTCAACACAATATTTACTATATTTGAAAATCAATTTATTAAACTAAGAAATATAAAATAAGTAGTTTTATTCATAAGCCTACAAAATTCTACGTAGCAGGAAAACACAAATGGTAGCGCCAAATGATAAAGACAAGTAGTATACCATGAGGTCGAGTAATGTAATCACTAATAGGTATCCTAACCTTTATGATTGTGGTACATGTTCTTGGCCATTGTTGGGGTTGGTAAGCTGATATATATTGACATGTTAGTTAACAATACTTTCACTACAAAAAAACACTTAAAATCTGGGGGTTAAATTTACATATTCCGGAGGTCAGTAACCCCTGCAACTTGGTTTTAGGGCAGTTGCAGAAACTCCTACAATTAGGTGTGCCACAATTATGTCGCAGGGATTTTTTCCAGCCCCTGGTACCAGTAGCGGGGGTTTACTAACGGGGGTTTTGAACCCACAAATTGATAACTGCACAAATTCTAGGATTTAGAACCCCAACAATTTATATACTCTGGGAGTCAAAAACCCCACGATTCATGAATTATACATTAAAACTAACAAGAGTTTTAGACCCAGCTATTTATGAAATGTATCTTTTTCTAATATTTTGCTGGAAATTAAATATTTAAATTTAAATAATAATAACTAATTAATTAACATAGACAAATCTAAAAGAGCATATTAGTATATGAAATAACACAATAGTTCACCACAAAAGCATGTCATAAAGTCTACTATTAGTTCTACAAACTTAATTGGAACGTGTTATTCACTTCAACCATATTATTACAAGAAACTTTCAATCACTACAAAAACTTGCTTGAACTTCAAATCACTACAAAAAAATTGCTAAAACTTTAGATCACTAGCATCCAAACTCAAGAAAGGATCTACAACTGTTCATAAAACTTCAGCGGGGTTCACTGCGATTACTATCACTAACATCACCTGACTGCAAAGAAAAATACACATGTAAGTGACTTCATCCAAACTCAAGACTTTTACTCCGATAAAATATGAAATAATGCAAGCTAACACTAAGCATGTGAACAACAATACTAAATTTATTACTATGAAAGTAAATACCAATGTCACTCATTAACAAATAGGTCAATACTAACATGCAAAAATATGTTCTGGACCATGAGTACTGCCTTGCCCATAAAACTTTGCCAAAAATAAAGAAGCTAATCTCAGTAGATAAGTCACTGGAACATAGTGGATCCAGAAAATGGCTGCAAGTAAACAAACATATCTGATATATAAATAAGGTCATTGAAGAAGAGAGAATGTAAACATTATATTTACCATTGTAGTAGTAGGAGCAAATAACCCCACAAATTGTTCCGGTAATGTCCCTTCTTTCCATTATCATATATGACTTGAAAGCAGCCATCATTTGAACGTGACAATTCAACAATTTATTGTAGTTCTCCTGTCAATTGGATGGACATGAAACACTCGAAGAATTCATACCGCTGAATTGAGGTCTTGCTTGTTTAAGAACTCTAGTGGAACAACTCCTAATCCCAAACACCTTACTCTTCCAGAGTGCTCTTTTCCTAGAATTTTTCCAACTGCATCATCTGGCGATATTATAAACTCATCCACAGTGCTTTGACTCAGAGTTTGCTGAATTTTTTCCTGAGTATAGTACACACACTGAACACTTTATCAAAATTTTAAAAAGTAATTGAGAACAAAGATGTATTACCTAAATATAATCAAAGTGCATTCACGTATCCCTGAGTTAGGAATTCCTTTACTCCTGAGTTAAGCATTCATAAAATACATTTTCCTGGGTTAGACATTCACATTTTAAGCAAAGCACATGCATATATTCAATCCAAGTGAGAGATAAGTAGTGAGACATAATTTTAAATCATTTACTCAAGCAAGGATTTTAAATCACTTCAAAATGACAGCACACTATACTAAACAAGGCACCATCAAACTGATTTGAACAATAGCAATGACGAAAATATTAACAGAGAATCTCAAATTTAAAATAAATAAGAGACTAAACATAAACTGTTTGACTTAACTTGTTAATAGAATAGGGACAGATTTGACAAAACCAAGGAACTGGAGTGTTATTATTTCCCCCATTAACTAACTTACACAGATAACTTTTGTCGCTTCATTTACATATGCTCCATCTACATTCTTATGAGTAGCAAGATAAAGTTCTGCTCGTCCAGGCATTTGACCGGTCTCAGCCATCTATAAGCAAAACAATCAACTTAGAATAACTTAACTAATTAAAAATAATTACAAAATAAGTCATCTTAATAACTAAATAATATGAAAAGAACTAAAATCTTTAACCATTTCAGCCCTTCTTCTAATGTTAGCTTTTGATCCACCTGTGTGTGGAATGATTTGTTTCTTTCGACTTTCAGCATTTCTATTGCACATTTCCTAACAAAAAAGATACACGAAATTCAATCATTAGAAAGTAATTATATGACTACACATACTACTTAAAACAATTAAATATATATACCTGTGTTTCTTTTTTATAACGATAATTAACATAAGAAGTCCACTGATCTCTTGGAATTCCAGGTGGAACATTATCCATAATCCGAGTTTTGCTTTTAAGTGGATCACTGAACACTTTCCATATGTCCAACCTATTTGCACTCCACTTCTTTGAAATACAATTATAAACATATCGTCGAGCAGCTAAGTTGGTTGTCTCAAAAAAATCGAGGATTCAATAATAAACACTAGTTAGCTTACCTATTAAATTTAAATATAAAGATTTTCGAGAAAAGAATATAAGTATAGTATTCAGAATATAGAGTTTATACCACTATGATTTGATCAAAGACGCTATCGAAGTATGACATAGGCATATTTGGCCATTTGTCAAAGTGCATTGGAAATAAGGACGAATCAGCAGCTAAAATTCCACAAAAACTAGAAAGAAGGGGTTGTGCTTCTCCAAATGGACAATCCAGGTAGTCAAAATTGACCAAAATACGTTCTTCTCCAAATAAATGTAGCACTTCTTTGACTTTCACTTTGAGTTTTTTTTTGCTACCTTCTGAATCTGGAATAGTGAAAATGATATGAAATGAAAACATGTTCAATTTGCCAACCAATCATGTTCTAGAGTGGGTTGTAGTACTTGTTTATGTTTTTAATTGTTTCCTTTTATTGTTCCACAGTGGGTTGTTGCCTTTTATTATTCTTTATTATGTGATGTATTCTTTACTGGAAATATAGAAAAAGGTGGCAAAATGGAGGGGTAAAATAATATAACCAGAGAGGTCACATGTAACCCCATTCCAATTGCACCATCATGGCAATTTATTTGACAAAGTAGAATCATATTGGAAGCTGCCCTTCAATTGCAGCAATAATGACTTTTGATCATCAAGACATTGAGGGGAAACTAAGAAACTTGTATTTTTTTCACTTTGTGATTGAAATGAAGGGAGTAGGTAGAAAAGAAGATGAAAAGTGAGGGGAAAAATAGGACAAGCCCCTCTAACAAGAAGAAGAAAAACAAGACAAATGGAGAACAAGAAAAAAAGATGAAAAAGAAAGCAGAAGTGCAAAGTTTACCTATTGCTTCTACGGTCCAATACTCCGTAGACTCACGTCCAACAACACGCTTCTTAAATGATTTCGGTTGTGATTTGGCCTGACTTGATGAAGTCGTATATGATACAGCCTGACTTGAGGAAATAGACTGTGATGCAGCCTAAGTTGACTGAACCGGCTGTGATGTAGCCTGAACTGAGAAAGTCATCTGTTTTTTGCCTGAACTGATGAAATCGATTGTGATGTGGTTGGTTGTGCGTTGGGCTGAACTGACAATGTAGGTTGTGTTTGAACTGAGTTTTGCAAGTTCTGCCAGCGCTTGGTCTTTGCCATTTCTACAATAAACCAAAGATAAGATAAATCAAAAATTCTTTAAAAAAATATTGTTATTACAATACTTGTAAAGATTACTGGTTCATCCAGTTATAAGACTGCAGATTTTCATAAGAAATTTGTATCCAGATCCACACCCACATGAAAAGTTCAAATCTTAATAAAAGAGTGATGTGATTAGCATATACAAATAGTTTTTCCTTTACACCAAAACTAAAAAGCATGCTATGTGTGTTCAGACATATGCTCCTCTTTTTAAATTTGGACATTTCCATAATCAACATCGAAAACATTTTCAAATTCTTGTTGTTGGTAGGGCTCATTCTCAAATATCTCTTCTTCATCAACTTGTCCCATGTCAAACACATCTCTTGGTTGTAAATGTATAGCTACACTCCATTCTTTATCTGTTTCATCATCAACATAGAAAACCATATTTGCTTGTGATGCTTCAATATAAGGATCATCATCCTCACGATCACTGGTGTGAATCAATTTAGAAAAATTGACACAATTAAAGTTCCAAACATCTCTTTTAAACCCTCTATCTCGAGTAGTGTCAACCCACTTGCATTTGAAAAGCACAACTCTGAACTTTCCATAATAGTTGAGCTCAATAATATCTTCCAACTTCCCATAATATGGATTCAGAGCTGACTGAATGACTTCATCTTAATGAATAGAAGAATTCCCTCTTAGGGTTGGTTAAGGAGGAACTTCTGTCGATTCCATGATAGTTGAAAAACCTCCTGTCCCGAGTGGGCTTAAGCCATGCCTTTACTAAAGAATTCTCGCCGTCTCAGAGAAAATCTGGTGTGGAGACCAGCCCCGACCGGCAGCTGCTAGGTTTCCCCATCTCTTCTAAACTTCCCCCGGTCTTCGACAGTCCTTCGTGAGTGCGGCACGCACCTTTTTGTTTGTTTCGGAGCCGTTTGTTTGGGCGGGGCGTACTAAAACCACTACGTGTTCAATCAAACGGGTGATTTTCTCTCCGTCTATGGATCCCATACTACCCCCCATAAACTGAAAATCCATAACCCCAATTGCTACGGGAATGTCGTTTAGTTGACCAAGCATCGCCCATTGGTTCTATACCCGACTCGTAAGTAGAAAGTTTCTCTGGCCCTTTGCTAATCGGGGCTAACACTCTGGAAATGAAAAATGCCAAAATAGGAACAAGGATGGATATAGCCGAACGCGAGGGAAGGATCGTTTATTCCCTAATCAGAAAGAGTTTTTGTTTGTGTGGGTTTACCCAGTTGAACATAGCTCTAACCCATTCCGCTATCATGCTTTTATTGAATTCTACTTTCTGCAACTAATTCTATTGAGTTGATTCCATCTCCTTGACTTTGTTCACATTCAGTAGCAGCTTGCTGGTGTCCTTTCAGGTCAGAAATTCTGTGTCCAACTCTAAGCAGCCCTTAACTACATATGCATTTGATCATATATGTATTATCTATTCCAACAAATAATACAAAAGAAGGATCCAACCCCCACAGCCCCTTTTATTTTAATTTATTTTTCCTTGACTTTTTGGAGTTGACCATGAGGGTGTGGGTTCGAATCCCCACAGTCTAATTTTATTTATCTCTTTAATACCTAAATCAACCTAGAGGTTGTGGGTTCGATTCCCAGAGGCCTCAACATTTATTTTCTTTTAATTTCCTTAAGTCTGTATGAGAGGTTGTGGGTTCGAATATGACTCCTCTCATTTCTTATTTTCATTTAAGGAGTTCAGAGGGCCTTTTTTACCAATCAAATTAAAGGTCTTTAGTCTACATTCCAACAATACAAATCGCTTGTCCATCGGAAATCAAGACAAAAGAACACTTGTGTTCTACCACGGATCTATGCAACACCCAATGCATACATGACATGGACGCCATCCAAAAGGGAACGAACAAAGATATGTTGATAAAAAGAATTTTTACGAATTCATTCTGCAACCTCAAACTCAAAGAATAAATACAGAAAAAACTCATTTTGGTTTGCTCCTCTAGTTGAAGTATCGGGCCCCTTTTTTGTTGCCTAGGTTACACCTTTGGAATACCCCATAAGGGAATTTTTTCTACTCCCCCCAATCTTCACTTTATGCCACACCGACTCCCCTTTCGTCATAAGGCGTGGAATTAGACCAAGGAAATCTCTATAGGAACTAGTCCCTTATATTTCGCACGTCAACCATGCTTCAACCTCGGATCGTTGGTGAGGTACATTACGAAACCGCCCAAGGAGTTAAGCAAACTTTACAACGTTACAAAGAGCTTCAGGATATTATAGCTATCCTTGGATTGGATGAATTATCCGAAGAGGATCGTTTACTCTCAAATTTGCTTGTCTTGTATTTCTATCAGCACTAGATGCAACGCAAGAAGTGTCAGACACAAGAAAAACTCCACTATTTTGAGTTTTCAATCCTTGTTCTCTTGACAAAGTTCGAAATTTGAACCCATTAATGTTATAAGCAGTGAATCTTCTTGCATATGGCGCTGGACCTTGTGCTAAAAACTTTATATCATCAGAGATTGTGTCTTCTATATCTGGATTCATTATCTAAATAAGAAAAATATTTTCGTCAGATATTCTAAATTGAATTAGAAATCCTATGCAAAACTATCATATAATTTCAATCACTCACCCGCTTAGGAAACCAATCAGTAAATTCTCTATTAATTCTCATTTCTACCTCTGTTATCGCTGGTTTTCTGCCTCTTGAACTCTTTTTATTGTGTTGCCTAAATTCACTACAAATAAAATCAATGAACAACCATTTTACTAATGTTTTTTAATAGATCAAGCTTATTTAAATTACTTACTCAATAAATGGCTTTGCTGAAGCGCAATTAAGTAATAAATATCGATGAGCTTGAGTTTTCTCCACATGAGCCAAAGGAAATGTTATGAAGCCTCCGACAACTTTACCTTGTCGAGGGAACATATATGACCTTTCAGGAACCTCATCATGATTTGTTTCATCATTTACTCGTTTAGGCCTATTTATCCTCGATTCGATATCCTCAAAATAACTAGAATAAAAAGTTAGAGCTTCTTCAATTTTTTGACCTTCAGCTATACATCCTTCTACCTGTGATTTGTTCCCTATAAGTGACTTGAAATGACCTAACAATCTACCATTAAAATTACATAGTATTAGAACAAGCATTTACTTTGAGACAAAAGTTTTTAAAAATAAGATATTTTACCTTTCAACAAATACATCCATCGATAATGTACTGGACCACCTTGTATTACTTCGTCCACTAAATGGACAGTTAAATGAACCATTACAGTAAAAAAGGATGGAAGAAACAACATCTCTAGGTGGCAAAGAGTGATAACAATCCATTTTTGTAGTTTTTCAAAGTCCATGAGGCTCAAAATTTTCAGACAAATGTGTCTAAAAAGGAACATGACTCTACCAAAATTGCTACAACTTGATTTGGAAGAACATTGCGAATTGCTATCGGCAGTAATTGTTCCATTATGATGTGACAATCATGAGTTTTTAATCCAAAGATCCTCTTTGATTTTAGATGTATACAACGAGATATATTACTCGAATAACCATCGGGCATTAAGATATTCTTTAAAGTTGTAAGGAAGGTCACTTTCTTATCCTTTGGAATTGTAAATGCACCAAGCCGAAAATCACCATTCTCATCTGCCCAAAGGTCTTCCCTTATACCCATATCTTGTAGATCTTTTCGAGCTTCAATGTGATCCTTTGACTTTTCTCTATCATTTAACAGAGTGTGAATAATATTGTCAAAAACATTTTTTTCAATATGCATAACATCTAAATTATGACTCAACAAGTTGGATTCCCAATAAGGAAGATT